CAAAGACAGGTAGCTACCAGTGTCCAACAAAGCAGTAATTTGCTGTCCATTAATAACCACAGTCTTGTAGCGCTGTACAACTCCTTTTGCCTCCTTTGAGCTCAATTCAGGCCGGGGTGCATAGCAAGCACCAGAGACCTTAGCTTTCCGCATGGGGCACACAGAAGCTTTGTGTCCAGGCTGCTGACAATAATAACAAACACAGTCCTTACCAGCTGATGGTTGGTTGGTTGTGGTGGTGGTGGTACCTGATGTGCAAGGGCGGCTCTCTTTCCTTGCTGGTCTGGACAGGTCCGGCTGAAGGGCTGGTCGGTGGGACGCGCTGGTCGAGTGTGCCATCGGTCCTCCCTTCCGAGCGTTGAGGTATTGCAGAGCCAGCTTGGCAGCTGTCTGCCCATCCTGTGGCTCATGCTCCTTGACCCAGGTTCTCACCTCTCCAGGCAGGACGCGAAGCAGCTGCTCCAGGACGATGGCCTCGCCGATCTCCTCCTTGGTGTGCTGCTCAGGTCGGATCCAGCGTCGGTAGAGGCCCCTCAGGCGGTTGTAGGTCTCGGTTGGAGTCTCACCAGGTGGAATGATGGTCGATCTGAATCGCTGCCGGTACGTCTCCGGGGAGATGTCAAACTTCACCAGGAGCGCTTCCTTCAGATCGGAGTAGCAGTGGGCCCTTTCCTCGTCCATGGTGGTATAGGCCTCCAATGCCTTACCAGACAGCAGTGGAACCAGTCTGCATGCCCACTCATCCTCTGGCCACTTCCAGGTCTTGGCAATGCGCTCAAAGCGCAATAAATAGTTCTCTATGTCCTCCCCTGGCTGGTATGGAGGAATTTTTGGCTCGGAGTAGTGTCGTGGTGGGTCTGGTCTGATGTCGGGGTCTGTCCTCTGGGCCGCTGGTGACACCGACCCCTGCCTATAGCGTGAGCGAGGTGCTGGGGTTGGTAATACCAGTCTTGGACTGCTGCCAGTCAAAGTGCTTGGCGTTGCAGCTGCAGCTCCTGGAACCACAGCTGGCGATGGAGGCTGTGCTGCCGGCTGCAGAGACACCCTCAAGCTCCGAAGCTCCGACAGCAAACCCTCCTCTCTCTGCTCCTGGGCCATCAGGAANTGACAAAGCTCAGCTTGTGTTGGGCTGTCTAATCCTCAGGATCAACATGTTTCGTGGTGCTGTTCCTCTGGGAGAATGAATTTGGACAAACAAGATTGCCTTGCCTGCTCAAGCCTGCAGCCCCCCCCAAGCTCAGGCCCAGAACTCTTTCCGCTCACTTGTCTCCAAATACGACATCCTCACAGCTAAGACCCAGCAACACTGAGACAAAAACCTTGAGGATAGACAGCCAGACACAGGCTTAGCAATGTTATACATGCAATCCAATGTGGCAGTAAGTATGCAGACCTACATGCAGAGGAGACTAAATAACAGCTTAACAAGCACATGGAGAAACACTGGAAAACCAGCCCCTCCTGACAAGACTCAACATCTGAATGATAAGAGACACTTCTTCGAGGACAGTAGGGGCGACATTCCGGATGTTTTCAAGAACCAAAGTCCAGTTTTCTTCTGATGAAGCACTTGTCTTGACCATGACCTGCATGGCACTTTAGCTCGCACTTGGTGTCATCCCATCACTCTCCTCAACACTCATGTGGACATATGACATCTGAAAGTAACAATGCAAGAAAGGTTTCACGTGGAGTCCAGCTGCACACTGACAGAAAACAAATCCTGAGTAAAGCCACATTTTCAGCTGCAGAGATTATATGCAAATCAAAGGGAATTTGTCGCGGGGTTCAACCAGCAACTTTCCCAAACTGGGAGAAAACGACGGCGTAGACGTCAGCTGTGGTTTTTAAATTTATTTCAGGCCTCTCCAAAGTGCGACAGTGACTAGAATATTTACAAAGTGCAACAAAACAAAAAAAAAGTGCAAAAACCCAATCGTAAAAATAAGCAAAGGAAAAGAAAAGAAAAACTCTATATACAGATCTATTTACACACCAGCTCTCCTTTAACTCCACCTTCAAAAACTCAGATCAACACTGTCACAATCACTATCACTATCACTGTCTCCGTCTCCGTCTCCGTCTCCAACTCCAGACTCCAACTACTCCCACCAACAGTCAGTGCCCAGAGCCCTTGGTTTTAAAGCCCAAGCCCCTCCCACTGGGCGTACCCTTTACAGGTAAAATACAAAAATTATACAAGCATGTTTCCAAACAGTTTTTCCCCCAGTTCACCCCTGCGATGGGAAACACAGAATTCTCATTGAGGGGACAGGGGTAGGGTTTCTCACCATAACCCATCGGCAATTCACATAATAATGTTCACAGGGAAAATAATAAAATGTTGCGCGTCATGTGACCGGCAACTGCGCGGGCCCATACCATCTTAAGCCGGCTGATGGTATGGCCCGGGTTTGCCCGCCAAGCATTCCAGCCAGCTGCCTACCACTGCAATGGACAGTGAGTGTGTGTGAGTGTGTGTGTGCGTGGATGGATGAGAGAGAGATAGTATCGTTGCAAGTGTGCACCCTTGGTCACGAGACTTAACAGCAGAAGTGAAATAGAATGAGGTGTGAGTGCAGGTTATTGTACAGTTTGTAACTGGATGTGCGTATGTGTGTCCT